AGCCCTACCTGCAACAATGGTAGTCTTTACTCTATGTTGTTGGGGTTTGATTGATTGGGCCACCAATGAACTTACTTCTGTGAGTTTATCTATCTTGATCACCTGCCGAAAAGCAAAGGCGACGCATTATGGTTCACACAGACAAGTCGCTTGACTTGAAATAATTTTCTTGGTGTCAAGTTTTTGCATATCGGGAACAATCACGGCCTTTTGAAAGTACTACCTCATTGAAATTGGTTCCGTGAATCAAGTTTGATGGCCATTGTAATCCCTTGGTGAGTGATGATACCTGAAAAGCCAGCGCTGAGTCCACCAAGCGGCTTTGCATGCGACGCACCAAGAAGCAGACCGGGCCTGGGCAATCACGTGAGACATTGGCTTGGGCAAATGCATCTAGTTGGCTGAAGAGGCGTAGGGAGAATGTGAAGGCAGCGGTTAAATCGAATGGCCACTGTCCTAATGGTTCCAAACAAGTTCGGCGACTAGCATCGGCTATGTGGTCACAAGATCATCAAAAGGAAAGAAATCGCAGTTCTGAACAAGAGAAACAGAAACGTGATTTGGTCTAATTTCCATATATGTTTTTTGACTGAGTGAAAACATATTTGGTGTTTTGGACCCTGCTCTATAGTAGTTTTTTTTTAAGTTGATGATTTGAGCCATCAGAGTTATTAATTGTCTACGCTCACCCATTATGGATATTATGGATGACACCCGGAATCCAAACCAACTTCTTATGTGGTACGCCCCTGAACCTTATCAAGATTGAACACTAGACTGGGTTTATGAACCATGCCTGGATCCAGTTTGTTTTCTGCAAAACCCCCGGTATGCAACCAAGGTTTGAGGGCCTTTCGACAAGGCTTGATTTTCGCTTCTGGGCGAAAACGAAGGCGATTATCCAGAGAGGCTTCTGAACAGGAAGTGGCTGATGCCAAGCGTCAGAAGACATATCTGAAAGATGTCCAAAAACGTTCCTTAATTCAAGTTCATTATTGGTTCAAATATCACAAATTATTATGTCTCTACTACTACTACTGGATTGTGGCTGAACATACTCTCCCCTTAACTAAGGTGATCTAGCCCTGGAAGTCACGACCAAAAAGCTTCCTGAGTTCAAGGATATGAGGGTCTTGCTGGCAACTCCTGTGTCAACCCAGAAGATCAGAAATGCCATTCGTGATTCGGGTGCCAAGTTGACCACATCAGCGTGTCTTGGTTCTCCTTACCTTAATTATCATGCCCATGTTCGATGTCATTCCTCACTTGATAAAATTTTTCTTGGTTGTGAACATTGGGTCTCCAAATCTGAGGCAGGAAGTCAACATTGCTATCCAATCAAACCCATTGAGACCTCATATCACTGCGGCGTTCTTGGCATTCTTCAAGGGGATGTTCCTTGGAAATCCTGGAAATTATCCAACTTAATTGGCACATTTGTTTATTAACCTGGTATTATTATTGGTGATCGATGATTCCTCCAATTATTTCATAACAAAGGTACTTGGCCACAGCCGAATACTTCATCAGCAGAGGGTCCGATGGGATGCTGATTGGGTACAAGTGCCTGGACTGCATCTAAATTTTGGAAGATAGCCATCATTATGGTTTCAACAATTTCAAATGGGCATGTTCCACAGTTTTAGCCGCACCCTACTAATCAGGAAGGTACCATGTTCGGTGAGAAGAATATGCTGGATGTCTGGGTTATTTCGTGCGCAGTATCCCCGGGTTGCGGCAGTGGTGAGTAGCTCCGTCAACCCCTGGACGCTGATTGATGATAAACAAGAGTTCTTGGCCGCTTGGCGAATTTCATAGCTTAATAAATGCCTGCTGACCATTCCACTGCCCACCCTCCATCCCTTTGGCTGCATCCGGGTTGCATCTCAGGAGAGAGCTGCGAGGTTCAAAACGGTCGGAGCCACTGCAACTGCCTTCGTGACAGAAGGTGAGCAACGTGGTGATTCCGAAGCTGGGCTTTTGGTGAGGGAATTTCATTCGGAATTTGAGAATTCATTGAATCTAGCGTGAATCTACAATTCATGCAAATAAGCCCTTGGTCAAATCAAATCTGAGGAATTGAAGGACATCATGTTCAAAATCACAGCGAATGATGCGGTGAATCTATTTTTAGAAATTGATGCCAACAAACCAATGGTTCGTCATTGGCACAAACGCAAGTCAAAGTAACTGCGTTTTGGTTTGAATGGGGAAATTCAAGCCAGTCACGGGAAACAAGCTGCGAGCTGTTCTGAGTGCCTTTGATGATACAATGATTTGAACGTTAACTGCATTATGTGATTCAAACACTTTTTTTTGGGCAGCCGTTGCGTCTTTGTTTTCTACTCTATAGATCTTAGATCACTTTAGTGAAAACATTGCAGTGATGTTGGATCGGGGCCATTGAAAAAACTTATTGAAGTTCAGTTGAAACTCACTTCATAAAACCAGGATTAAATCAAATGCAAATCATGTTCAATGGCTCACCCTTAGTTGGCCATAGTCCGAAGCATTTGTCTTAAGTCATTGCTGGTAGAGTACGCCCTCGGTAGCACAACCATGCCAAAAGTTTGGGTCAAGAATGAGTTCCTCAAGCATGATCGTTGCTGTCTTTCATGTTACCTGTGCTACTGGAAGAAGTTTCTGAATCGGTAACTTATTTGAATTGGCTTAGTCATTTTAGTTCTGATTAAATTATGTTGAATCACCAGTCATTTTAAGTATATGCCATGATTGGGGAGAAGCAATGAGATTAGTTTTGACCTTTAGCCTTAGCAGTGGTGTGCCCACTGAGCGAAATTTGGGGAAAGAATGCTGGCTGCTGATTCTGTTTGTGCGATGACCCCAAAGTTTCAAATGGGTACGTGGTACAAGCCTACTACTGAAAAGGAATGAATTCGCAGTGAATTCCCCTCCTGAATATTTTTAATTTTCCACCTGTACTTAAGCAAATCACCTCACACCATATGGGGGTCGGTAGCCCCCCTCCCGTGTGAGGTCCTGAGCGCTCAGGACCTTGTACCTCCTCTCGGTGAATATCTTAACTACAGATGAAAAAAATTCCAACTAGGGGGCTACAAGGTCAAACAGCCTGCCCCAATCTACGCTGGGGTGAGGAGGTACAAGGTCCTGAGCGCTCAGGACCTCACACGGGAGGGGGGCTACCGACCCCCATATGGTGTGAGGTGATTTGCTTAAGTACAGGTGGAAAATTAAAAATATTCAGGAGGGGAATTGTTCAGAAAATCATCTTGTATTGAACAGCTGATTTAGCAAATCATTTGAACTAATTATGAATGTTATTTCATAATTATTATTAACATATAATTTGTTTGAGCAAATAATTCATAATTAAATTAATCTGGTTGCAATTCAGATTGATGGGCACCAGAAATGGGAACGGATTCTTGTAACAACAGTGACGGATTACATCATACTCAGTTGATGGTTCCTCCTACATTGGGTCAAATGACTTGTCATCCTATCAAGATAGATCACAAGTTCAAAACATAATGGCAAGTTAATTGTTTCTTCACCGTCAGAATGCTGATTTGAATGTGCTGTCATCAAATTACTATAAAGGTTTTGGGATTGCTAACGGATATTATTACGATGACTGGATTTAAATGATACATGTTCAGAAACCCTGGCACCGCATGACGGGGCCTTCCGCACCGTGTGGTCATCTTTCACCTCAGGGTGTCAATCAATGGTGGGGTTCAACGTCCAAGCCAATGCCAACAGCTTTATAGTTGCAACTAACGGGTCCATCACTAGTGGTACCAACCATACTCGATCATGGGAATTATTTTTAGTACCCCTTGAATTAATGAAACTTCAAATGGGTATGTCTCAAAATGAGGTGCCCTTTTGGGTCCAAAAAAATTACCCCTGCCAAGGGTAATAATGTTTGCTTCAAAGAGGGGAAAAAAGCACGTCAATTTGAGACATACCCAAATGTTTGTTTACCTGAATCAGATCATCAATCGTTTCTACCGCTGTAGCGGATTTTGGATCAATTCGGGCAGTCGGCGGGCCATGCCGCCGAAAAAAAAAATAGTGATCTAGAACCCAAAGCCAAGGGGAAGGCAAAGCCAAAGGCTTCAGCCGCCATAGCCCCGCTTCTAGATGCAGAGAATGCCGCAGCTTTGGCTTCCACAGGCCAGGTTAGTGATTCCTTTAAAACGAATCATTCGTTATTATCATCTCTCATTCTACCCAGGCTCAGGTCAAACAGTTATTTCCCGGTCGCCCCGACAGGAGCCAAGTATAACTTGGAGCTGATGACTTCCACTTTTGAAGCCCTTGAGGAGCTCACCAGGAACACGTGGCCAGGCATCTTCGATGAAGAGCCTCTGCCGCTGGGAATGGGCGCAAACCAGGTTTCTTGAAATCAATGATGTTGAAAATCAAAAGTTTGTTTCAGTGATTTCGTTCAACATCTACTACTACCATCCAAAAACAATTTAGCAATGTGATTCTAAGTACTAGTAATCTGAGGCAGTTTTTGACGTGGACCAGTTGAAGGCTGCGTTGTTTCCCGGTGGCGTGGCAAACCCTTCGTCCAGCTATGTATGCTCTCAATCGATCTTCAAGTGTGACCTCTTGTTCAATGCAGACCCTAGTGTCACAATCTTATTTTTCAGCAAGTTCAGATTGTCATCATCAGTCAGCAGTAGCCAAATTTTGTTGATGGTGGCTGAGATTCAACATCAAATCGTCCCTGCTGAAAAGATAAGGTGCCACTGAGACAAAAGAGTATCAATGAGCTGGGCGCCAGATACTACGAAAACCCAGCTCGGTTCCACACCAGGATTCATGTTGCCATATCGCCAGACTGGCATTTGTCCTGCGACCCCCAGAAGGTCAAGCCAGTATCTCCCGTGGAAAACGTGATGGGTTTTGTGCTGCCCCTCGAATATGATTATGGTTTGTCAATATGCTCAAGTCAATGAACCTTCAACAAAATGACTAATCAATAATCGTGGCAGCCCAGGTCAATGTTCAGGGACAACGAAGATGAAGAGAAGATTGCTCAGTGGAAGCGATATGCGCTTTCTGCCACTGGACTCACATATAAGGGATAACAATTACATAATATGTTTTTATGACAGAAATGAATGAAAACATAACTTAAACCCATAATCATAAAGACTTAAAAGATATCAATTGATTATGACTCTGTCATAGAAACATCTTATTCAACTTTAAGGAATATGGATATTTTAAATAGGAATCATTGGAAAATGAATAATTGATTATCCGATATTAATCAGATTCATCACCATCAACATGTCGCACCTAACTTCCACCCACCGGGGACATGAATAGATTGCAAATCAAAAGAATTTGTGTAACACTTCAAATGTTGATGGATTTGAGTTTGTCAAAATAACATGCTATCTCACTGAGGTGGAGTTTGAATACTCCATTGCGACCAGCGATTCAGACATATATTTTCTCGCCGCAAACCTTCGGCAAGATATCATGTCTGACCGTGAGACAATGACGCATACTTGTTTGCAAAAAATGTTTTCGGTGATCTCTTGCAAAGCACGCCTTGAGAAGATCCATGGTGCGTTGAGTAACAAAGCTGCAGTTAATCACTGATGATGTTGATTAAATGTTCAACATATTATTATCAATTGCGATGGTTGAGCAAAGGCAGCGAAGCTTTTTCCAAAATGTACATGGAGCACTTCAGAGCAAGCAATGACAATGAGAAGGCTGGTTCAACTTGATTTCACATTCAACCAGTCAGTCATGATACTGAAAGTAAAAACACTCATAATTCAATTCAATTCAATTAAATTTGTGGTTGATTGATTTATGGTAAACCCCGATACACAACCCTTTGATCTTTCCCGACCAGGTCACTGAATCGTTTGTCGAGACCGCCGTCTCCTTGCACAAACGGGTTTTCTCCAACACCAAACTTCTGGATCTTCTCCTGGAAGCAGATGAGTGTCCGAGTGATGCGAACCCCTTCAATAGCTACACCAAGCTCCAGGTCATAGTGCACAAAGCCAAGTCTCCCCGCAATGTGGAATGGTGTTTTTGTGCCATGTAGCTTGATGCAAACGGGATTTGAATTGGATTTGGGTTTGATTAGACACTTGTAACTGTGGCCCGAACAAATGGTTTGATTGGATACTGGAACCCCACATTATTGCCAACTAAGGTATGATGGCTGGAAAAATGGCCATGTTGGGCCCGAAATGTTGACCTGGAGGGGAATCAACAATTCCCTGCATGGAAAGGGGACGTGTGACGTTTTCACTGGGCAGCTTGACCTTCGCGAGCATCTGTTTGCCCAGTATGTTCCGTTTCTTGCCTCAAGTAAAATATGTCAAGTATGATTGCACTGACTATAATACTGATGAATTAAATGTTGTTTCAATCATTCGATTCAGAACGACAACTATAAACCTCAGACTCACCAGCACTTGTTCAGGAAATGGGGATGGAAATCTGAACTGATCAGCGAGATGCGGGAGGTTTGCAAAGACCATGCTTCTTTCCGGGCGTGCCTTAACTTGAATAAATCATTTTTAGTTCCAAACATAACGCAGTTTTCCAATCATTGATAAGTGCATGGAACTAGTTAATGATTTAAAACAAAAAATGTTTCTTATCTACTGTAATGACGATTATCATAGATGCCTGAACAATCATTGACAGGGTTAACCATTGATGTTTCAGGAAATGTGGCTATTCCCACGAGAAGAAAGACTTGACCTGGAGAGCAGGCCGGTTTGGTACCATGTCACTTGGGGTGTTAGCCGGTGGGTTTTGCAGCCAGGCTGGCCAAAGTCTGCGGAACTATTTTGGTCCTTTTTGGAGGACACACATGTTCCTGAGTCAAAACTGTTGTGTTTAAATCTACAATTTTTTGGGTGGAATTCGTCTTTATCGCAGTCAGGATTGCCTGTTCAGCAACACCTTCGAAGCAACCTTCAAAAACATGGTACGCCACAGGAAATCGGTTCTTTGGCATTGAAATTGACATTCAAATATCTTCATGGCAAAAAAAACACTTTCATAAATTCAGCTGCATCACATCAACCACTGAGGTGAGTGAATGGTGCGCACACTCTGAGATCGAGAACCGCATTGGAACCATCCAAGAGTTTCTTGGCTTAATGCCCATCAAATCTGATCAATAATAAATGACGAAGTGTCTCATACTTGGAAATCTCAGGTTTCACCCATCAGTTTGTTGATATCACGGTTCATGAGGCAGGCAGACAAAGAAATCAAAGAAGCCAAAAAGAAAAGTGGTGAGGACCTACTTGTACGAGTAAGTTGATTGATGAACCAACAACAATGACATACATCAACTAACTAAGATAAACTTCCCCTGATGATAATTCCTGTTGGGCGCCTGCAGGAGAATGCTGAGGACGACGAGGACGACGTCCAACTGGTCGAAGAACCTGTGGAGATGGAGGAGGATGAGAAAGGAACCGGCCACCTGAAGGCTGGCTCAGTGGTGGTACTATCAGCAGGGCTTTACTTACTAAGTCAATACCTACTTCGGCAATCTGAACTTCAGTCAGCCATTTTGATTGAATTGGTCAGGTTCCCGAATCAGTCCTGAAGACCAGAAAGAGGGGAACGAAAAACCAGTCGACAGATGGTGAGCCTTTGGACTTGGATGAGGAGTCATTGCGAAGATTGGATGCGTTGGGTACTTACCTGGTTGATCATCATGGTTAAACATAGCCCTGGTTGATCATCATTAAACATAGCCCAAAAATTCGTTGCTTGACGCCAACTCAGGTTCAAGCTGAAGGCCTGCAATATGGTGCGAACCCATGTAAAGCTCATCGTGGAGGAGGACCCACCCTTTTCAGATTTATTATCCATTTGAATGACGGGTCAGCCCATTACATTTAAACCCAACATGACAATCCCCGTTGGCTAGGACAATGTTCAGGCCATGACAGCTGCTTTGGAAACCACCTCTTTCACTAAGTGGAAAGGGGAAATCGATCCAGAGACGAATCTGGACACAACTTGTTAGAATGAGTCAGTCAAATCAACCAATGATATGTTCTTCAGCCCTTCAAATGTCAAAAGCTGAGATTAACTGATTAACCGAACCCATGCTCAGGAACCAAATCTTCAAGTCGGTGGTGATCTACTTTGATTCTTGGCAGTGAGAACATTCACAAGGCCTGAGTAGATGTATGTTTGACAATCACACATTAAATGGCAGTCTTCATCTTAGTTGAACTTTCGAAACCATGTTTGATCCAAATAAGGACACAAAGCTAGCAGGTGAAGCTGGCACCCAGCCGAGCCTGCGGGTGCCACCTTTGCGTGAAGGTCGTCATGGGAAGCTGTTCATGAGCGCACTCGGCCTCAGGCTTGAAAATGGCACAATGCGCCCGGGCGACTGCATGATCATCATGGACGGAGGCCGCGAAGGCATCTTGTCAGCATGTGGCACTGAGGTTTGCGTCAATCAGAGCTAGCTGCGTGTCCCCAAACATAATGATGAACTTGGAGTAAAGATGATGAACCGAGGTCTTTCCTCGTCTTTGCTGGGGGCTATCAAACCGAGTGCAACTACCTCAATGACAAAGTGGAAAAGCCAGAAATTCCTGATGTGGGATGAGACTAGTATCCGTAAGAACAAGAACAGAAATAAGGGCAGCGTGGTGGGTCAACTGGAGCGCCTCCACTTCATTCTTGGGGAGGAGGCGGGGCTGGTCTACAAGAAACGACGCCACTATGGAGGCACAAGTCATGGAGACTGCATCGGCCCAGTCTTGGCGCCAGATTGGGACGATACTTTGATTTAATTTTGGCTTGCAATCAGATTATGATTCATCCATGTCTTTTAGTATCAAACATTACTGTACCTGAAAACATTATTATTATGGGGCTATGATTCAATTTTATTTATCAGATTATTGGGGCTCATTGCATCAACATATTGCTGACTAGTAACTAAATCGCTTATCTGAAACCAAGTTTTTATCAAATATACCAGCTAAGGATGAGAAAGAAACATGGAGGGTGACCTATGGGGAGAAGAAACTGCTCTATGGCACTGCAAACCGAATCGCTGTGGGTGGGCGTGCTGATGAACCTGTCGCCGACCACCAGAAGGGTGCCATGCTTTTGATTAAAAAAATATGTTCCAGATCATATCAACCAATCCACCCCAGCCAAACTTCATCTCACCACTAAGGCATCCGACGCAAGGACACTGACGTGGAGCCCGTCGCATATCACTCTCTGCCTAGCGAAGCGGTCTTTTGACAGCACGTTTGACAGCACGTGGGAAAGGGTGACGTAGGTTTACATGGGACAGATTAATCCAAAGAAAATTCAACAGTTTCAAACGTTACCAATCATTCGTCATACCAACGACTCTTGACCAAGCCTGGCCCAAGTCATGACTAACGAGTTAATGAATTCCGAGGTCGCTGAAGTCTTCCATGAGTTCAACATCTCAGCCATGTTGGATTTGAGTTGCTGTCGCTTGACAAGGTTATTCCTAATCAATTGACAGATGGGACAACTTGACATGATTCCACCGATCATAAACCAACAAGTCTTTGACCCAATGTTTCTCAGTGTCATCATCGTCCGTCAAGGTGATGGAAAGACAGCATGGGAAGCTATCTTGCAAAGGGTAGCTTATATTGGTGTGTGTTTCACCGAAGACCATGTGACTTGACAATGTTTGGCTGTGTCTTTGAACAAAAACAATGCATTCAATTCAATTCTGAGTCAATCATTGAATGCTGTTCCTCTCGGATATCGATAATTATCAAAGTTATTAGATTAACTAAGGCAAAGCTGCTGTACAAAAGGCTCGAGTTGAAATGCTGGGAAGGAATGCTGGACCCCGAATCCCCCATCTTCGAGCCAACCCTTCTGGCCTTGGTCCAAAAGAAAAAGTCGAAGAACCTGAAGGCCACCTGTCAGCGTCAACTGTGAGGTTGTGTTTCAAACATTTAGGATCATGACAACAACCTAGAAACTGTTCAGGGAAAGCCGAAAAAAGATGAAGAAAACAAAGGTGAGGATGACGAGGAGCAGGATAATGAGGACGACGGACAGGAAGAGCAAGAAGAGGAAGGTGACGAGGACGAGGAAGAGGATCAGGAAGAGCCAGAAGAAGATGACGACCCGATGGAGGAAGATGAGGAGGAAGAGCAGGAGGACGAAGAGATGGAGGATCCAAAGCCACGCCGAAAGGGTGCAGGAAAGGCTAAGGCCAAAGCGGCCAGCAAAGCAAAGGGAAAGGCGAAAGGAAAGCCGAAGGCAAAGGGACGCCCCAAGGTGCCCCTTAGTTATCCTTAGTTCATGTTGGTTGTGATCATCAAATTTAGTGACTCCCAAATTTAGTTCAATGTTACACATTCACTGTCACCCTTGAAGGCCGGAAGCAAGAAGGCTGGAAATGTCTTGAACAAGTTGAAGAAGCTGATGTGATTCCCCACAAAACCTCTGCCACACCCAAAGGAGTTTTGAAATCAAACGTTGTTTGCACTTAAGCAATGTGTTTCCAAGTGGGTATGGCTTAGACCTGGCTTGACGCGCGCGTAGCTGCTCAGTTTGGGGTCCAAAAAGATTGAATGCCATGCATTAGTCATTGAGGAACAGGGGAAACCTATTGGTACCCAGCCATTTGTCATCGTTTGATTATCGTTTCAAATTTTGGCTCTTACTTTAAGGGGTTGTCGGCTATCATAGGGGCCATGCCGACAAAAAAACTCGTTCTTGCCGAAGATTGCGCCGGGCTGGGACCATTGGTTCCATGTTGCAAGTTTCTCGGAAAAAACAACACATTTGTCAAATGTCATTTCAAATTGAATGAAGTTTGAAAGAAGTCATAACACCGATTAGCCCCGTTGGTTCAACACCTGCCTAGGAAGCTTGGCTTTAAAACCGAAGTCTTCTACATGAGCGAATCTGATCCTGCGCTTCGTCAACGTCTCAAAGATCTTTACCACCCTCAGAAGATATCTGCAGACTGTGCGAAGTACAAAGGTTTCTTGGCAAAAGAGGGCGATTTACTCATCCAGTTTTTCATGTCTAGCCATTTTCTTCCATCCCAGGAGTGGAGAAGCTAATCCACGTCTATGGATCAGGCTTTCCATGTCAGCCATTCTCTTCCATTGGGAGGCGGAGAGGGAAGGCTGACAAGCGATCTAAGGTTGCAAAATCTGTGCCTCAATCGCATGAATTGTTTAAGGGATGTTTAATATGATTTTCAGCCAATGCCATTTTATTCTGATCAATTTCAATCAACCTAGGTAGTCCGCAGGATACTTCGATGGCGTCCCGAAACCTTTGTTCTCGAGAACGTCGTTGGGATGACTTTCAAACGACACAGAAAATTCTTTTTGAGCCTCCTAAGACTGTTCCTAAGCAGCATTTGAATCAACATGATTCAAAACCATTGATGTGAGTCACATAATCGTTTTAATATTTGATTCAACCAAGGTTGAGAGCACGAGGGTATTACAACGTGCAGTGGAAGGCCCCCGTAGTAGGTTTCACCAACCTGATTCTGATGCTTTGACTTCAAGTCTGATAAACAACATTACCACATCGTCATGACACCATTATTTGTACTTGAAGTATGATATTACTTATTATCATATGTGATCATTTTTGATCATCGATTTTTGATCATCGATTACTGTATGAACCATTTGAACCAGCATCTCTTATCATCCTCCTTGACAGATCCTCGACAGCTGGAGCTTCGGTGGCTTGCCTCAAAAGAGGCGTCGTGTCTGGATAGTGGGTTGCACCAACCACAGCCGCAAGAGCACCTTGGCCGCAAAAGCAGTGCATGTTGTCTTTTTAGCAATTTCTTTCTTATTATTATGATGGTCCTCCAATAGTCATTCTACCGATAATGGGTTGTTGATGAAAAAAACAGTTGGTGTTTTCCGCAGTGACTACCCTCATTCTAGATATGATACCATGACAGCTGAATAGCCAAGGAAAATTTAAGTTTCCTCGGCCTTTGCCTATGAAGCGACGAACCACTCTCCTGAATCTCATGGGGAGGACTGCAAAAACATTTCATTATCAAGCATCATGCATCGGTCAGTTGGAGCATTTGAAAACACTTTTTGGTGGCAGGAAAGCTGAATCCCCTGAGTTCCCAAAGACATGCGGTGCCCGAAAGAGGTTACTAGCCGGTATGGAAAAGGTCGTGGAGATGGGTGGAGATCTCCGCGATAGCTGGTTCCCCAACCGCATCTACTTTCAATTTTGCATGGGAAACAGTGTCATTGATATCTTGATGAATTACTTTCAATTTTGCATGGGAAACAGTGTCATTGATATCTTGATGAACTACTTTCAATTTTGCATGGGAAACAGTGTCATTGATATCTTGATGAATTACTTTCAATTTTGCATGGGAAACAGTGTCATTGATATCTTGATGAACTACTTTCAATTTTGCATGGGAAACATTGTCATTGATATCTTGATGAACTACTTCCAATTTTGCAAAACTTATTTTTTCATGGCCCACTCAGGGTGATCGATGTGGCCGCATCCAGCAAGTTTCAAGGACAACCCAGCTTGAACATGCAACTTGGCTGGGCCAAATTTCAATGGAAATACCTAATCCAGTTTGCGTGGGGATGCCATAATAATCCATCCTACTTATCTAAGGACACCATGCCTCACGAGGGCCAGATCCGGCGCTGATTCGTTTTGGGTGACCAGCCATCAGAGATTCTTGAACTTGAAGGACACCTGATTCTGGTTGTTCTTCCTGGTAATAGTGGGGATGATAACTGACCATGAACAAATAATCATATTTTAAATATTATTGCAACAGGCTACTACCATGTCATTGAAATGCATTAATCATTATTGTCGGTGGACCAGTACCTGTTTAACCAATTGAACGATACGCTATAGTGATAGTACCATGTTTAATTAGAATGATAATAATAAGTAACTATAGCATCATTCATTCTAATAACTTTAAACATGATACTATCACTATAGCGGATCATTCAATTAACTACTTTTATTCCACCCATCAACATGGTATCCCAACAACCGAGCTGACCCACGTGCCAAGGATCACCGGCAGAGCCAAGGTAGTAGGAAGGGTCACACCTGAGTCAAGGATTGTTGGTAAACGATAACAGCAATGATAGTAGCATTGGGTGTGCCAATTGGCAAAACAGAAAAACAATAAAATAATGCAATCGAATGCAATCGATATAACAATGATCGATGCCATTATCGTTATCCTTGTAATTCGTAGTTGGCCGGTTACATGTTTGTTCACTCATAATGAGCCCAAACAGTGAATTTGGGATTACCTGGTTATTTTCAAACTAGCTAATGAAAATCAACATAATTTTTGTATTAATAAGCTAATCCCAAGTTTAAGGTTTGAGGTCATTATGTCATGCATAGTGTAACATGGCCCCATCTTAACGGTGGCTAGGAGAAAGCGGAGCTGCAAGGGTGGTCTTCAGAGAAGACTATGGAGTTGAGCGTCCGCGAGTACGGGCTAGCGTTGGGAAACGCATGGCCGTTGCCTGTAGCAACAAGGATCTTAGAAGAGCTCAATCGAGCGATGGGATGGTCCACAAGATGAGGAAAACTAATCGCGTTTTCAGGGATGGGTTGCGGTGGTGGACCATGGCACCCAGGATTCTCATGATCATTTTTGGGCCATTGTATCAACTGGTGACTTCGCATTATGATCATCAATGACCCGCCATTGATCAATGTTAGCTATTGGGAATCCCCACTACCATCTTCAGATTCAACAATCCCAATGACAATCTAGATTACTTACATATGAACCACCCATCTATCCATTCTGGAAGTCAGTGATATTATGATTCTGGAATACTCCTTATTATTTTATTATTACTTGAATAAAATTTCAAGTAATTTAATTTAATTATTAATAATAAGTATTCCAGAATCATAATATCACTGACTGACTAGTGTATAATCTGTGGATAGATGGTGACATCGCTCCTTCCGCTCGGACCCCTGAGGCCCCAGGCGGATGGAGCAGGCCACCAGGAAGCCACCACCGCGTGGCTGATGGGATTGATGATGGGGAATAATGGGGTGAATAATAATATAATGGGGTAATAGGTGAATCCCAACAGTAGTTTGATTAATCTCAGGGAAATGATATTTATTATAATTGAACTTTAGTCTCTTAGTAGTTCCCATAATTCAGATTAATAATGAATCATAATGAATGGTATCAATCATTGATACCATTCATTATGATCCATTATTATTGATGGATTATTAAAGTAAAAAGTAGTAATATCCCACGAATTGAAAAATTGCCTTGGGTCATAGGCTTTTGGGTTTTGGGATTACATTGATAATGGGTTATATGGATAATCGCTATAAATCATGTGAAACAAAGAAACTACAACTTCAAAGAAACAAAGTACTATTTGACTATGCTAACATCACCCCAGTGATATATGGCATAATATGGTTAATAATCAATAGATATGGTGTATGATTATTAATATCTGGTTGGTGGTTGAGCCTACTGAAATATATGAGTTTGTCAGTTGGGATGATGAAATTCCCAATATATGGAAAAATCAAATCCATGTTCCAAACCACCAAGCAGTTTTCTAGCAGTAGGTCTGTCCAATTTTCTACTCCATTTTTCCATGCAAATCACCACCAGAACCTTCTCCAAGTCCACAACTACCCCAAAATCATCACCAGAATCGGCCGAACCGCGCTGAAGTTATGTACAATTAGGGACCCAACTCCTGTCCGCGCGAATCTCTGGGCGCAGTGAGAACAACCGGTTCATGAATCCTGGTAGAAGATGATAAACTATAGTGTATTTATGGGATACTATAAACATCTATAAACTATCATAATCCCAGAGGTTGAATACTGTACGATATTTATCGATCCTCGGAAGCCTTTCAAATCCCTTCAACACGTCGCGCACATTGGACCTGCACCTTCAATCCCCTGACATTTCCCCCCCTACACCCCGACTCCTATCCTTTCCGTTGAAAATTGCTGAAAAGTCGAATGGGACCAAATATCACAAATAGTGGCTTTAGCACCAAATAGTACACCCTTTTTTTTTGTAGGGTCCGCTCAGTTCTGCCCTCCACTGAAGTATTCAATACAATAAGGGTTTTTGATCGCAAAATGGAACTTTCTTGCCCAAACCAATCTTTCATGGAATTATCTACGGGATCTAATGGATCTAAGGGATCTACAAATGGAACACTTGGGGGGGCAAAATTGGAAATAAGTCCAGAACCAATCACATTTGGGGTTCCTCCTAATATGTTGCAGCTGGGTATCAAATGTCTCAGATTCTTGTTGACCCTCTTGATACCCCAAACAGAATTATCCATCACGAACCAACCGTTGACACCAGGGCCTACCCACCCACATCTAGAATGGCAGTTCTTGTGAGTTCTTGCGAATTGTAAGTCATAAGCCGTTCTTGGGGTTCGCTCTCTTACCTTCACAGCAAGGTCAGTGGAGTCCCTGCTATAGCTGCCATAACTTGGAATTCTTGGGGACTCCCCCATAACCTCACTGCAGCATGGCACTCAACAAAGGAGGCACCACTGACTTTTCCTCCACCTGATACAGAGGGGATGCATATAGACTAAGGCCAACTGGCTTCCAGGGGATTCCGATTTTATCAGATTTTCTTCGTCCAGGAGTTGAATATGACTTCGCCATGGCAGTGGAAGAGGTGAGGCCCCAAAAAATCATAAACTATATTAAAATATGATAAAATCATCAATCCAAAACGTATCCAAATTGATTCGAATTAGGACTTTGAAGACTGCTGTGCCTGAAAATGCTGCGTATGATTAGCACCTTCTAAAGCCATGGCAATCTTAGCAGGGAACATCAGGGAACATGATGATATTTCAACATATACACACCATTGGACAGCAGGGGTCCCTTATTTTCATACCAACCCATATTTGTTGGATTTTGTTGGACCCATCTCCAACGCATGGTCCGCAATTTTGAAGCGCGTGCCGCTGCACGTTGGCTCATCATGCTTTTCTCTTTGGCCGCTTTGGTTGCCAAACGTACCTTCTTCCTCCATTCCTGACACACTTTGGTCGGGTCCAAAAACCACAACTCCGTAGGGAAAAAAGATGGATCACCTCCGATGTGGTACACACATAGTGAATCCCTGGCTTTCAAAAGCTTCAACCACTAACACTATTCTTTACGTTTTCAGCTGTCGTTGTCAAAAACCATAGCAGTGAAGCTCTGGGGTTGCCCTCGAAATTCACGCCCAGAGTCTTGGATTGTTCTGCCGTACTCCTTGTTCTCCAGGCTTTGCGCGCAATTTTCAGCTCGCAGCAAGAGTCGTGCTAGCCTGCCCTCCACCAGCCGTTGCCTGGGCACAATTTCTGGTTGAGAACTAAAATCTGTGGTGTGCCAGCTAGGCATGGAATAATCACCATACCTGCCAATTCTGCAGATCATTGTAAATCTCAGCATTTCCCTACACTTGTTGCTGTTTTAATCAAATCTCATCATCTTCTCGGTGAGAGTCTGGTAGAAATTTCGCATGGTCAATCTGATTTGTTGGGCCGTTCTTGTAACCCAAAAATAGACAATTCAAAATCTTCTAAAATAATAGTATAGTAACAGCAGACGACCTAAATTTCTGTTCCCTTTTTTTGGGGGTTGGGGAAGCTACAGTATTTCTCATGTTTTGCCAATAGTTGCCTCGTATTAATGTATTTATCCAACAAATAAATGTTGTACATATTTTTTCAAAATTTGGGCAGTCAACTCCTATTCTGTTTTTCAAGTGTTAGGAGGTTAACTCTCAATTTGGGTGCTCGAGTCAAATCTCAAACTTTTTTCCCCTATATCGACGCATGGAGTCATAATTTTGCGGCCCAAGTGTCCCCATGCTTGGAAAATCTTACGCACCCTTCACAAGAGTAGAAGTTATCTGGTCAGATCAATCTGTATATATATATATATCCGATCAAAATATTATTTCCGGCAATCAAACGTGATGGAGGGTCTAATATGAACATAATCTAAAAATCATCCAACTGGGGGATTCTCCATTGCCACGTTTGATTTCCAGAGAGTAGCCATTGATCGGGACCTTATATACGATTATCCAAGTAGGAATCTTGTAATGTGGTAAACCCAATAACAACTCATTCCCAAAATCACTATAAATGGTTGGTAACTATCATCCCCCAATGGTGGGTTTATTGGGTTTCTCACATTCATTAATCCTCGTTCATTCATCCAAAATTCCTACAGCCGTCCAGTTGGTTGACCCAGAATGGATCACCGTTGAGCTATCACCAACAAACAGTTTCAGACACACTCACGTGTGATATTGCTGGTTCTATATCCAAATTCTATTCCCTAAATTATCCCCTTCATAATTAATTTTAATATCCCACTAATGTCAACATCAGCCATCCATACAGAGTCAAGCTGCCACCTTTGCTCTTCGCGCGACTTCTGTTCTTGACGCCTCAATTCCTGTCGCTCAGATTCCTGCTGCTGGCGCCATTCTCGAGCTGCGCGACGTTCCTGGCACGACAACCAAGCCCCAGGAAGATGCAACATGCCAAGTCTCTTCTCTCGCTTCCCCTGGTCATGGCTTAATTACCTTGAATACCCTTTTGTGAGTGGCACACTGGAGTAGTGATAGTGTGCATATAAAATCATATAAACATATGATTATAGTAATTATAGCATATTTATATATGCATTTTACATTCCTGTATTGAAAGGGAGCAATATCGAACCGATGAAACCAGCGCATTCAGCGCATTCAGCAACTCACTTTTCCCATCCCCTGTCTTCCAGTGGACGCAATACCCTGTGAAAACCTGCTATTCACCAGTCCACTGTACCCATTCTCCACCTCAACCTCAACCTCCATTCAAACGGTTAAGAAATGTTAAGAACTGATTCATCATCCACCATTGACCTACCATTTGCCAAGCTTTTTCATCCCCATCTTCGCCCAATCTTCCCAATGGCTGCTTCCTGTTCAAACAAGAACATGAAACCCCCGCCACTACCCTGTGGAAATCAAACATGGCAGAGGAACATCCACCATTTATAGTATTATAGATGCAAACCCCAGTAAAAAACCCATTCATGGGGATTTCCCATTGCTATCTTTGATTTCCGGATCTCCAAATCCATTTCACTTGTGCTTCACCTCGTCATTCTAGACCCATCGATCATTTCCCATCACCCCATAGTCCCCTCCTTTGCATAAAACCCTCCATACAACTCATAGAACCCAGCATTTGTCATCACTTTCCCCCATTCCCCATCACCCACCTGTCGCTTGGTCCACTGCGGTCGATAGCTCTGCTCTGCAGCCCAGATCGTCTGTTGCGCCTGGCTCAAGCTCTTGCTGCGGATGTTGAAGCGCTCCCGGCGGCCCATCTGCATCCACTCCAGCCACACAGCACCTCAAAAAACAGTGGCTGCGAAATGATATCACACAAGTATACAGTATACATAATTAGACATAAATAGACATCACCAAACATAACTAAACGTCAATATACGTATAGCAATATATATATATATTACATTGTATTATAATGTATTATACATATGTCATGTATACATATACACACACATATATATATATATATATATATAACATGACTCATGACCTTAAGATGGCCGTGTTTTCTTCAAAGGAAATGTCGCGAGCCCGCGCCAAGGACATGTCTCCAATATGGAACTTGCCCCCTATCTTCAGAAATCTTAAGGCACTAGAGTGTGACAAACATGTGTTCATGTTTATGTATAATACGTATAACCGTACAACTGAATTGATATCAATTCCATCTGCATTTGAGAATATGATGCTAATACTATAAATCAAAGAATCTCGAAATAACCCCAAATATAACCCTTAAATAGGAAAATCATAGAAAATATAGGAGTATATATAGTATATATATATAGATAGGAGACATGCTCCGGAAGGTGCTCCAAGCTTTGATTCCCAATGTGGAAGAATTCAGGCAATCCCACAGCTTATCACTGGATGATTTTTGATGGGTTTTTAAAACTCATCCCCACTTTCAAAGAAATCAGCCTTACAATAAACACGGACGTCATTGGGGATCATCATCCCATGTGGAATCGCAACAGAACATCTCTGAGACCATCAGCCAGTTCAGCAGTCTGCGAGATCATGAAAGTGCTCGCAAAGATCGAGGCCGATACAAACATCCAAATGTGAGACATATTATATATATATTATAATATATATATAATTAATTATATATATATATATATTACAATTCCTTGGCTGTTAAAATTTGCCATCCACCAGATCTCAGGTTGAACTCCAGCAGTTTGGTCCGCGACACTCATCGCAGGCCTCGGCTGCCAAATATGTGGCCAACGGATTTCCAATGCATTGGGATGTGAAAACCCTTCAAGATTCTGAAAACCAGCAGGGGTTATTTCAATTTCTAAATACCTTGGGTGTATCATCCATCCAATGGTTAATACACCAATGTTCCCAAGTTATCATGGAACACTTCTCAGTACTTCTCCAAATTTTATGCGGCTTCCCGAAGTGTTTGTTCCGTGTGGTTTGACCCTGCAGAAGGGACAGCTGTATTACCTGGGGCTCATGTAGCCTCTACATTCCGGTAATGAAACATGGCTGGAAAATTCCACATTTCGTTCGATGAATTTCCCATTTATAGAGGATTTCCCCGCCATATTTCTTTACAAAAAGGCTTTTCAAAGGTGGATCCTATTGCTTTATTAACATTCTAAATGTTTGTTGAATCCAATCCCAAATTTCTGGCAAAGTCACCAGCCCTCCAGTCTTGCCACTTCGGCTTGCATCCACATCCTGGGCGATTTCACGTGCAGAAGCTTCGGGGGCGCAAGATATATGGAATCAAAAAAACACCAGGTCGTTTGACCAACAAAAATAGTGATTTAGCCAACAAAAATGATGGTTTAACCGACCAACATGATGATTCAATCGAGAAGCAGGGTTGTGCCCCAGTTTGTTAGGTAATTCTTAAACATTACTAGGCCAACTAAGATGGGTTATGATGGTGTTTTTTGGGGAATACATATCGAACTAGTTCACTGATGCAAAGCGAAGTTATAAATCAACAAACACAACTGGCTGGCCACCACCTTGCAAAATTGGCTTCCCAGTGTTTCTTTCCTCTCGCATGTCTTGGGAACCCTCTCCTGTAGCCGGCATGGATTCTAGAGGTTCAGAGGTTGCTTACCCAGATACATATAGTTCATTATAGTTCTATCACAATTATACATTCCAGCGACGTCCCAGGTCGAGGTCGCAACATGATTTGTCCAAATAGGCGGTATTTTCCAGACCCCATACAACCCCCCAAAAACCTGGAATGTATTGGGATGTAGCCCAGCCACTTTTATACCAAAAAACTAGGGTTTGTCTGGAAATCCATATCCATTGGTGAATTAGCATATTTCCTATCAATCTTGCAATTTATTGGTGGTAAAATCCCCATTTTCAGACACACTAATCATAACGTGTTTGGTTAGACTATAATATATCCCATTTGAAATCTCTTGATATTCAAAGAACATTACTAAGTATATATTATATAATATTATATTATAATATATTATATTATATTGTATTATATTATATTATACTATATTATATTATATTAAATTTAATTTTATTATATATTGTATTATATTTTATTAAATTGTATTATATTATATGTTATTATAGTATATATTATATTATATATAAAACATCATTATATATATATGATATATATATAATATATGATATATATATAATATATGATATATATATAATATATGATATATATATATATATAATATATGATATATATATATATGATACATATATATATATATATATATCCGATTCTGTCCCTATTGTGGATGGTATTTTCAGACACACCAGTTGGTGTTTACCATGAAAAGACAGATCTTCCGACGCTTCGCCCAGCATCGAAATCGCCTTCGAAATCTCTTGCGTGCGCGGAGACGTCACCATTTTCCCCACCCAGGGCCGGGCATCCATCACCTCAATGTGGGCATGTGAGGGCCAAAGGGACCTAGTTTGTCAGGTAGCTTGGTCAAAAATCACTAGGCTTAACTTGGATTTATGGGAAATTGGGGAATACATCGAAGTTGTTGAGTGGGTGATTCTCCAGCACTTTGGGCTGGGAATTGCTAGGGATCATTATGCACCAGTAGAAACACATAAAAAACAGAGTGGGTGACAGGGAAAAATGATAAACATATATTTATAGAAACGATGATAAATGCATGTATATATAACTTATATAGTTACATCCCTTTAATTCATATATGCCTTCAATACGGTCACTGCGAAGGTTCTCGATTCTGGGGAAGCTTTGAAGGATGAGCTGTAGTATGCTGAGCAAGGACTCCAAGCAATAAAGCAAAATGCAGCCTACTAATGTTTAATGTGACAGTTTCTCAACATATAGTGTGTATAGTACATACTAATAATACATAATTATGTATATATATATATATCTACACGATCTATACATTATACCCTTTTCTATGAGTATGTGACGAATTTATGGCCAGGTCCTTTGTGGGCATCGCCGAGGCGCTACTTGCAGGCTCAGCCACACGTCTGCCAGACCTTCAGTTTCTTCCAACGCTTTCTGCAGGTTCTGTGCAGTCCTTGGAGATCAAAAATGGCAATTTTTACGGGGCTCAAAATCGGGTGGCCCACAACGTATGGTGTTTGTGGTTGCCTTTTTTCTGCAGTGAGCATAAGTTTCTAGATTCAATGCTATGTTTTTTCTGGGTGAAGGTGATTTTCTAAAACCCCATACGTATGGATTCTTTCTCCAAACCAACTTTCAGCCTGAGGAAAGCCTCCAAAGTCAATCGATTTGGACCAACATTTCAATCGGGGTCCTGAAACAAGGAGAAAAACAAAGAAATAAGGGACCACATGATTTGGTCAACTGATGTCCTGCACACAAAGTTGTGTATGCGCATATACTTGTCATATGTATATATATATATACACATTCATCACAGAAGTATGTAAATCATATCATATCATATCACATCATATCATATCAGTATATATATATATAATATCATATCATATCATATCATATCATACCATATATATATATATCATACGTATATATAATATAATCACACACACATATATAGTCTATATATAAATGTATACATTAAACAATATTAAACAATAAATACATAAATCAATAAACAACACATACATAATAAAAGACACATAAATGAATAAAGAAAGAAAAAAGAAAGAAAGAAAGACATAAATAAAGAAAGAAACAACATCTTTCTTATTCTTTCTTTCTTTCTTTCTTTCTTTCACACACACACACGTCCAGATGTCCCCATTTTGAACCTTCCGTCATCGTCCCCATTGTCACCGAGCCGCAGCTTTGCAGTGCTGTCTTTCACTCCCGCCTCCTTCTCTGAAAAGATCTGACGAAAAGTCGCCAGTAAGGTGTGATTGTGCACCTGGGATGTGTGGGACCCTGTTGAATTATGGTGTATATATATATATAAATACGATACATACCATGGTCAATTCACCTAACAATAAATAGGATACATCCCACTCGTATGAACTCGTCTGATCTCGTATATGTAGATTAAATCACCTGATTGTTAAGTGGGATGCCTCTCCAAGCAGTCCACAGCTCTGCTTTGGTTTTTACCTTGTCCAGCGGGCTATGCCCTCACCCAGCAATCTCCACGGGAGAAAAACCTGAGGCTCGCTCGATGCCTTTCTTATGTGGAAAAAAGGTCAAGCTGACTGCGGTGCGAAACTACCACCAATGCAAGCCCTATCAAGAATTACGCTTTCAGAGTTGAAGTATCAAAAAATTTCAATCACATTTGCAACCGTAAAACTGCATTACTAACATACAAAGCTTCCTGGTGAGCGCTGAAAGTTTGCCTCATCTTTCCAGTCAACGGATCGAACAATCTTGACGAGTCTAGGATGATCTGCCCTGGGGCCACTGCAAATTACGCAGATCCAGGCTGAACGGCCCGATCCAAATAATATGGAGGATCCCCGGTCACTCATCAAAAACTCGGTCATTTCGATGATCCAAAACTAGAAAAAATGCATGACGAAGTCAAATTGCTTAATTTATCCTTTTTTAATGCTAGCTTTGATCGCAGTTCTGGTTGGCCTTTCCAGCAGTGTTTTTCCAATCTTGAGGAGTTACTCCGATTTCCAAAGCTTGCAAATTCTCCCCACTTGGATTTGCATACCAGGAACCCGCAATCACAACTGTCAGTCTCCACAACAACTGGGTGAGCCAACCATCGCGATTCATCGCTTGGTAGCAGATTACACCTTTGACACCTACGACCTGCCACTATGCTCTCCTGTTTACGCTGCTTAAAATGAGCTATAAACATAAATCCAAACTACTTGTATTCCCAAAAAATAGTCCCTTGTTTTAAACCAACAAAACAGCTACACGTATATATACATATATATATATATGTTATACACATATATGTTATATATATAAATATACATGTTATATGATTATATGTTATATATATGTTATATATCTATATATTTTATATATGTTATCTATATACATATATTTATGTTGTGTATATATATGTTATATGTATGTTATATATATATATGTTATACATATGCTATACATATATGGTATATATATATATGTTATATCTAGGTTATATATATTATATAAATGTTATATATATGTTATATATATATGTTATATATATGTTATAAATATGTTATATATATTTTATACATATGTTATATATATGTTATATATATGTTATATATATGTTATATATATGTTATATATATGTTATATATATATGTTATATATATGTTATATATATATGTTATATATATGTTATATATATGTTGTATATATGTTATATATGTTATATATATGTTATATATATGTTATATATATGTTATATATATGTTATATATATGTTATATATATGTTATATATATGTTATATATATGTTATATATATGTTATATATATGTTATATATGTATATGTGTGTTATATATATGTTATATATGTATATGTGTGTTATATATGTTATATTTATAGATGTTATAATATATATATATATATATATATTATGTTATATATGTATATATATATTAATATATGTTGTATATTTATATATTATGTTATATATATATATGTAATTGCCTAATTGTGAACCACTAAACGGTAGTGAATTGCCCTCATTGACATCGTCGATGGGTGAACTCAGCTAGGAATCCCATTATGAACCAATATTGCAAGAAAAAACTAAACCAACTACACAGTTTTGCACAAAATACTCCATAACAAAAAAAACATATATATGTATATTTATACACCCATGGATAGATGTTCATACCATCTCATACCTGGATTCATACCTCAATTTATCCAAACAATAAACTGTTAACCTTCCAGTAGCTCCAGGGCACAGCCTCTTCCAACGTCCGCGTGGCACGTGAAGCCAGGGTGAGATTCCGCACACTGAGCCGCGCCTCGTAGTACCTGGGACATGTTCGCGACCCGGTGACCGTTCCTTTGGAAAATCGCGAAGAAAACCATGGAGAAATCCCGAAGTTCACCTAAGATATCTGCCATATTTATGATGTTCATGAACTGTTTATGGTATCCACACGTCTTATGGAGTTCAACTAAGCAAACATGGTGAGTGAACCAAGAATAAATAGCTGGTTAAAGCAACACTAGATAGAGATGTGAATAGATGTGATTTTGGCAGCAAACATATTGAATTGTTGCAACTAATATATGGAGATGTAGAAAATATGAGGATGTCTTGGTCGGGATTCGGCTGCAACAAAACGATGCACCAGATGGGGGATACGTAGGGCCCAAATCAGATGTATCTGACCCTCAGACCCTCATCTGAGATGACCCTTGTTGTGAGGCCCGTGAAACTGTTTCAAGTGATATTTGTTTTCCCTCCACATTACCAAGTTCAAGGCAACAAACTTGCCAAAAACCATCCCAAAAGCCATGACCATTTCTTCATATCCAGCAGATATCGGAACATATCCTGCCAAGTGGCATGAACCCCCTCGACTTTAGAGTGTTCACACCACGATACCTCGATGGAAAAATGTGGCTTCTGTTGGGATAAAGTCATCCCACCAAGCAGAGACTGTGTTACTTTCGTGGCTGCGGTTGTTGTTTTGATATGTTTTGATATGTTCCATTTGGTCCATGACACAACAGCAGTAACCCCATGACTTTGTCGGACTATGTCGGACTCTACTATGGGGCTGGGCTTGGATGTGTTAAGTTTAATTTATGCACCCGGCAAAATGGATTGTAAAGCCTCAAAATGAGGTGCCAAACATGTTCCCATCAATGGACACATCAAACAAACCTTCACATGTGCCATGATGAAAACATCAATGTCCCATGTAAAAGCAATACGGATATGGTATGATATGGTCATCCCAACATGGGAATCCATAGCATGGTTATAATATGGTATGGTGGACTTCGTGGATTGATGATTGATGACCATCCCCCAAGATGCCCAGGCCATGGGATTTATGCTTGTCTAGGCCAGAAAAAACAAGGTGGTGCCCGATAGTTAGCCAAGTTGGTTTATGGGCGCGTAGCTTAACTAGGATTTTTGTATGATATATATATATAGATAGGAAGTTTCCTAAAATGGAGGGGAACCCCGAAATCATCCAAAATTGGACAGTTTTTGTATTGAAACCTATGGTTTTGGGGATCCTCCATTTTTGTATATATATATATACACTGTATAATATATGAGATATATTATGTATATATATATATTTATAGATATCTCCCTATAGTTAATGTGGTTTATGAACCAACCAACATAACTGGGAGACTGTGGGGTACCACCTTGTGCCTTTCCGCAGTCCAAGGGTCAGCTTGCGCCCGTGCCGCTTCAACCCTGCGCCTGCGCTGCTCGCAGGACCCTGAAAGTCCACCCGGCACTCGACCTGGACCAACATAGCGAACTTGAACATCACCATTTCTTGTAGTAAAAAAATCATGCAATAGCTATAGAGCTACAATCAACATCAAGAGCTATAAATCATAAGCATTCATAAGCTATCAATCAACATAACTATAAATCATCATTTTCAACCATACTATAAATCAAGAGCTATAAATCAACATAGACGATAGGTAAATTAACATAAATCATACATCAATTAACTATAAATCATCATTTTCAAGAGATTATATTATGTTGAATTTCCAGAGGGTAGAACAAAATGAAACACATGATGGTGAGATCGCATGAGATCCCTGGCAAAAACGTGACATTTGCGACCGCCTGACGTGGCTCTGGATGAATCACCGGTCTGATGAGTTCATTTCGATCACAGCCCCACCTCCTCCTGCAGCGGACCTCCTTGCACCTTAACATGGTGGACCCCAAGTGATCAAAATGGGTCGTCTTTATTGGGGAAACCCCTGGTTTTGGGGTACCCCAATCTTGAGAAATCACCATGTGGCTGTGGGAATAGATCAATGCTGGACACCCAAAAAAAAGATGGCTTCAACATGAAGATGAGCCAAATCTGCGGTCATCAAAGGGGGTCCATGTTTTGAACTGTGCATGGTTCCTTGTCATTTTCCGCTTTCACATGGCCAGGAATGTCTGTATCCCCCACTTATGGGAAAAACAACGATACCATATCATATCCTTTGTTGTACATCCCGTTACATCCAATATTATTTTCCCATGACTTTAATCCCCGATATTTTCTTGCTTGGAACTTCCCATCTTTTCCCACCTCCCCACCTGATTTTCTATGCTCAACGCTGGCGCGGAGTTTTTTGGTGTCTCATCATCGCGGGAGACAGGCGACACTTCCGAGCAGGCGCTTGGAGGGTCGCCTCTGGAGGTGGGTCTTACCCGAAAAAGAACACGCATCCAATATATTACAGAATAATGACATAATATATATATATACAAATACACATCCTACAAATATATATATATATATACACATATATACACATATAGATTTTATACATATATGTGTATATATAATATATAATATATTAAATATATTATAATATATATATATATTATATAATATATAATAGAAGATATAATATAAGATATAATATAACATATATATATATAACACAGCAAGTAAATTGATGTAAATTGGCCATTTGCATGGCCATCTGATCATGATTCAGGGTGCGAAGATGAACCGCAAATTGGACATGTTACTGGCAATCATCACTTTTTCAGCTTTGATTTTGACGTCATCATTTCCCTCTACTTCTGCCGCCGATTTCTGAATCTCCACGTTGTTGATGGCAATTACAGTACACGCGTAACCCAGAAGGATCAGTGACGCTTCTTTGCAAATCCCTATATGAATCACGAACAAACAATATGCTGATCGTTCTGTACAGGTTTAAGTGTCGCCATGTGTCGCCCGAAGATAGAAAACCGAATCGACTACGGTTGGGATTCTCATTCCTACTGTTGGAATTCTGGTGTTCTTTGTTTTTTTTGAGAAAAGCTATACATTCCTATCGATTCCTATCGACATGCTCAGTATTGCCCAATATTCATCAATCTTCGGCATCCCTTCAATCAACATGTTTTTTTGGCTGTAGTTAGTATCTGTCTGTTGTATCATATCATACATGAATACTCACGTCATGTCCCCATTTCCCGCAACGCCAAGTAGCAATGTGGAAGGCAGGCACCGCAGCTGCCTGTTGCGGCTTCCATTTGCTCCAGCAGTTTCTGCCGGAGCAGTAGAGACCTGAGACTCTCCGAAGGTTGGGGGTCCCCATGGGTCAACCGAAAAAGGCCCTTTTCAAACATCCATAAAACCAGAGATTTTGTTCCTATCTTGGGACTTCTCTTTGGAGTCTTTAAAGAGTATTTGCCCATGAAATCACATGAAATCATGTAGTACTCAAGTTTGGACCCAGGTTAACACTGGGATTTTCTGGGGCTTGAACCAGCATGTGTTTTTCGATTGAACCTTCATAAATTAAGGATAATTTGGGACTTTCACCATGCGTTTCACTGTCAAAACGCTGGTGATTTCCATCGATTTCCTGTCAAAACGACGCCGCGGCACATCTTGGAGATGACGTCCTGCCGAATTCTTCGAGGACATTCAGCCAAACATCGCCTGCCGCATGGTCGGATACTGCCCGGTGGTGCCCCATAGCTGGGTTAGTTGGCAATATATCGTTAACTGGGCTTATAAACCAACCACAATTTTGGGGGGTATCCACCAATCTAGCTATAGTTAGCACCGTAAATTCACAGTTCACCTGCAAGTATGTTTACCAACTTAGCTGAGTATGGGTCAGCCCTTGTATGTGTGCATCTACCTGAAACCTCAAAGGATTAGACAATAGACCATGGCTCCTGTTTGTCAAGAGCAATTTGTTGACGTCGGGAATCTTCAATACTGCTGTGAAAAGCAAGAAAGAACCATCAGTGTCCAGTTATTTGTGTAGTTACGTTTCCAACGTGTGGGTGATCATGGATAATTTTGAGGTAACTTCTTGCAATCCATCTGGTACCAGCAAAAAACACATTAAAATTAATTAATGAGATATAACTGGGGCGATTTTTCATTGCCAGGTTGACCATACATATGTACACCATACATTATCCATGAATAATCCGAATAATGGCCAAACGTAGCCAACGTTTACAAGATTTTGCAAGTCCCAAAGTGATCAAAGTGGGGGGAGCCCGCTGCCCAGGACAACTTATTCAGTTAGGTAGAAGTAATGTGACAAAGCACATACGAACTTCTTGAGACCAATCCTGATAATTAATCCTGTTCAAACTGCAGTGCCCACTCCATATTTGCATGTATGCATGTTCTTGATTTTTTCCCACCCGGCAGCGAACACATTTTAGTTCAGAAATACCACGCACATCCTAAGAATTATCCAATTTCCAGTCCAATATATCCTGCAAACAAAAACATGTTTAGCTGGATATGATCTGCATCAGAATGGACAAGCATATCGAACACATAGAACCGTCACCAAGAAGGGTGTTTATTCCTGGGTTTACATGGTAGGACGGCATAACAACGCTATATATAACACTAGATATATGAGGGGCAAAGGCTTCTCATAAAAAGCCTAGGTATATTGACTACTATATGATACTGAGGACTATACCATATATATCGCAGTGATATCCGTGTTTTGGGAATTTTGATCAAAACTGGGAGGGAATCAGATTAGATTTGAGATATTCCAAAACTGGCATCGACTATGTTTGAGTTTGACAATTTGAATTCCCATCCTCCCTGTGATTGTTAGAATTATTACCCTCTGGTACTGGGGCATCACCATGGACAATTACAAATTTCTAGATGCTTGAACAACAAAAAACATGGTCACTTTCAATGGCAGAACGGCCAGTTAAATATGGTAGGGTATGTTTTTTTACATCACCGCCCGAAGATAGGAGTCTTTGATATTCTTTACTACAAAAACTCTCATTCTTTCCAGGCAAAACCTGGGATTTAAGGAGGGAAACTCGTTCTCTCCAAATCCCATGGAACGTGCAGCCTGGCCTCAATCGACTGAGGTATCTGGCCAAAATTTGCGGCTTAGATCTACGCAGCTGCGTGGTGCCATGATGCCTCGAAATGCTGGGCATTGCTGGGCCATTTGGGGAATAGTTACCCTTACATTAAGATACATTAACCAATGTCGCAGTGAGCTTGGTAGCATGCATCCACAAAAATACGGGCCATCTGATCATCTGATTCTGTTGGATCAACATTCCAGTTTCATGGTCAATGTCTGTTCGTCCACTTAACACTTATATCTTTTAAGCTGCTTGTGGTTAGCAAAAATTGCCATTTACAGCAAAGAACGAAAGGATTCAGGAGGATTCAGGTTTACCTCCCTCTCATCGACCATTTTGAGCCACTTCCCTCTTCAACATGGATCTGAGTAAATTATAATAATTCACCAACCTGAATTAAGGCCATGTGGGGATGATTTCCCTTATTAACCATGATTCCAGTGAGGTCGCAGTGAGGTCGTTATAATTTACCCAGATGGATAGTCTTGAAACTGAAACATTGCTCTGTAGAGTAATATCACACATCGGCATCCAAACACGCATCGCATTGTCTCAAATCGGGAGCCCGGGAATGCAGGGAGTCCCCCTTTTTTGAGACCATACTAAACAGTCGGTTAACATATCTATAATTTTCTGAATTGTTGATAAGTTCACATTCAATATATCACATTATATCACACTATATCACCATGTTGATCCAGATCCAGCAGCCTTCCAACGGAGGTTGGTTCCTGCGTTGCTCCACAGCTTGCAGCGCTACGGCTTGGCTTGTGCTGTTGCGCTGACGCCGGGGCAGGGGGGGGGGCTGGACACTCGTGCCTGCGATTCAGAGGCTGCTGGGGCTGGAATTCCCATGGCTGACCTTATCCGGCAAAATGATGCAACATGGGGATATAAATTTATAGAAATACATGATGATAAATGTGTATACATGTGTTTATTTACAGTAAATGGGATAGTGTACCTCCACATGTTATGGCTGAAAACTAATATGCGAGTCACCGGAATCACAACTATCCAGTCGTGGTTGATATGGCACTTGACGGATTGGCAAATGAGTTGCCTTTCTCGGGCCGCTCGGGTCATCCCTGAGTCAACAAGCCTGGCTATGTCCGTTTACCAAAGCTTAAGGAGTTTGCAACACTCTACATCCCATGTCCCCTGGTCAATCATCATTTTACCACATTTTACCATATTTTACCCACTATTTAGTGATCGGTAAAGAGAGCATCCATCTCCAATTTTGCAGATGACAGGGATCATCTAACATCCACCAGTCTTCCAGGTCTTGCAAGGTGACACCCCCAGTTCATCCCAGTTGGTTTCTAAACCCAGTCAGTTGGATGTTGGATTTATCATGATTTATCCCTCAAGCCATCCTAGGTAGCCTAGTTATGTGGCCAAGTCACCCAACGAACTGGAAAACATTGGAAAACCACATGCTAAATCCGCCATGATGAGGGTCATGTCCGCGTTTGAAACATCTGCGACGTGACCGAGGCCCACCTCTGAATCCGTCTTTGCCGGTCGTAGCTTTGCCGCGCAGAAGCATTGAACAGGACCTCGAAAGCCTTCCTTGGAACAGCAGCTGGTAAATGGGGGATTCAACCATCCACAAAGAGGGATTCAATGGGATACTGATGGGATTTTAGACATCTACACAGGTTTCATTAAAAAAGGGAATCCCCAAAAGCCTCGGTTTCAATACTAAAATGGTCTACTTTTGGATGATTTGGGGTGCCCCACCATTTTAGGACACTTCCATACAGTATGTATCCAACTTGATGATGTGCGTGTGTCGAAACATGTCGGCATTTAAAGCGTAATGGCATTTTTCATGCAGAACAAATAATGATCAAGAGCTCGGGTTCCGCATGTTCAAACGACACCACGGAGTCAATGTAGCCCAAAAGATTGAGATTTGATCAACAAGAATTGCGTTGAGTTAACACAAATAAGACTTACCAACGCTAGTTGGCAAATTGGGCTTAACCAATTAACCAACACAAACAAAGATAGGGACTTATTCCAGATTTTTTGTTGCACCAGAAGAAAATTACAGTACATCTAACGTGTTTAAAATGGATATGTAAACATCATCAGCAACGATGAAACACAGTGAGGGATGTTCATCCCGCAGCTGATCCATCATTCCAGAGACGTGGCATTTGGGGTCGTTTCTTTGTTCAGCCAGATGTACTGTACACATGATGTATGTATAATATGAAATTAAATACGAATATGGCCATAGATATTAGTATGGCCATATTTAGCCGTAGATACTTACAATCTGAATTCAATCTATCTAATCACATGATGTATGTAGAAGAAGCCAGTGTAACACTGTAGGAACAAAGGAGTGTGTATACCCATATAGACGTATAGCCGTTAAACATGAGAATGAAGGGGGCATCACGTTAGAAACAACACTTACTTAAAGCAATTTCCAATGAAGGTAGGGGTTCCAAACAGGCAACATGAACGCTAAAGAAAACTATTGATGCAGGCAGATCTTGATTCTATCCACATGAGCCTTGAAAACACTCCTATTCCATCCCATGAAATACTGGTTGATCATAGGTATCCCGACCTGAATGCACATCCTCGACAGAAGTGAGTAGCACAACCCTCATTTCATAACCAACCAACAAGGCCTGGTTGGTGGTTTCAACCCATCTGAAAAATATGAAAGTCAGTTGGGATGATGACATTCCCAATATATGGAACAATAAAAAATGTTCCAAACCACCAACCAGAGGCTCTTTTTAGTTTGAAGAGGTCAGTTTTCCGTTCCCTCTCCACTGTCGCAGGAAGTTCCTCCAAGGGACACCACCAAGCGAAACTGCTCAGAACTGCCGCCCTTATCCTTGGGGGCATGGGATGATCCCAATAAACTGACATAACATGTTGAAATATCACCAGATGGGCCCCAAACAGATGTATAATATAGACAAGCCATATGAACACTATGAATACATCCGATGTTAAACCAGGCTTTTGCAAAAACTAAATCAATGCTGTGAAAATATTGCCACATGGCAATATGTTCACAGCTTGCGAAAGCTCAAACTATGGCAACTTGGGTCCCCATTTCCACCATCTAAAACTGAGACTCCCCAAAAAAAGCAGCATGGTTTCCCACGGAAACGATCCAGATTCATAGTGGGCTGTGGATGTGCCATATCTGTCAGCAGCGTCTGTGACGCTGCGCTTGTGAACATAAACCGGAATACAAACAAATTCTTGGTGAATTACTAGTACAGTACCCTCCGGTAATCAAACGTGGCAATGGAAAATCCTATATTTATAAGTATTTATGGATGATTCACCCATTTTCCCATTTAAAGCTCCATTGAAACTGAATTTTCCAGCCACCTTTGATGACCGGAGAGTAGTCCTGGGGCCAGCTTCCAGCCAGAAGACCGGATGAGACCGCAAGGCCTGGCGTTTGTAGGCCGCCTTGATGTCCTGCATCGAGGATACGCAGCAACATTAAAAAAGGAGTTTGGGGTTTATGGATATATGATATATGATATATATATATATACATATGATATATATATATTATTAATAATTATATAATACATATATATATATATGATATTATGTCATGATGATCTTATCTATATCAATGATGGTTTTGAATTGTTTTCAATGTCCTTAACTTTTTGGTATGTACGTGTAGATTCAGAAACAAATACATTTACCGGTCAGTCAATGGCAATTATTTGGAAACCATTTGGTGAATATTTGTTGATAAATTGAGGTTTATTTGGGTGTTTCTTGTCCTCAATGGATTGGGCGGACGTTTAGTAGTAGGGGAGGGATTCTTGTATGACATGTTGCAAAACATAAGAGAAAGCGATGTATGGCAAACTGCGGCATGGCGAACTACAACGAGAACTCTTGCATCCAGGCTGCCTTTGTGACCCTAACATACCCTAATTGTAATGTGGCACTATGGGAATTCCTCTGGTAATCTAACCTGCCAATCGGAAATTCCCGCTCGACATTACGACACTAAATGAAACTAATCTACATAATCAAAAACCACCAAAACAAATTAGAGATCTTGCTGCTTTTGTCCGGCCTAGAAACCATAAATTCTTGGTGACATGCCTATTTTTGCTGCTGAATCTCCTGTGGCAGGATTTATGTCAACCCTAAGGCAGCTGCTTTGGGCACTGAAAAGTGATAGTTGCTGGTATAATCAACCTCTCAAAGAGAAAAAACGCAGGGGGTTGTGACTTTGGGGTTAGTATGGTTTTATCCAATAAGCGATGGACAACTGAAAACAATTGAAAGCACCAAGAAAAGTTGTGGAGAGTCAGATTGCTGGGCAAATCAGTAACCAACCCCAATAACTCTGAACATGTCCACCAACAAGCATTGCTTCTTGGTTGGGTCATCTCAAACATTGATGACTAGCCACAGATTTTTGGAATCCGGAAGTGGTTAACAATTCAATCATAGGGGTCTTAGCAGGACGTTGGCACAAGAGATTCACTCCATGGCAGACCCCTCGCTCTGAGACTCAATTCATCCAAGCGTCTGAGGAGGTAGCAGCCTGCTCCAGACCCAAAATGTCATAGTAGTCCCAACGAAGGGTTCCACTGCCTCATATGTCAGGGGTTGGCATGCTGAAGATATGAAGAGAACCTGAACTTCAATGGTAATCTAGGTGAAGTGCTAAAGATATACAGTATATTGGTGGTTTCAACCTCCCTGAAACGTAACAGTCGTAGCAGTCCTCTTGGATCATTCTAAATATCTGCAGAATCACACAATGAAATCACCAATCAAAATTGCATATTTTGTTGTGCCATCCTTTGACAAAACCCTTTACCTATCCTTTGACTAAACCTGTCTGCAAATCGTGGACTCAAGAACCTTGCCGCCCAGGTTGCCGTGTCTGCGACGCGCGTCACGCATGCAAAATGCTACAACCGCAAGATGCCATGGCTGGAACGGTTCATCTTCTCGCGAAGATGCATCACAAAGCGGCGTGAGCAAACGCCAAGTCTTGTTTCAATCGTTTCAAGTGGCTCCAAAATCTGGAATTGGAAATGCAGGGCAAGATTTTAGGTCCTGGGTAATTCTATCAATGGACCAATGCCTCTCAGAACATGTATGTGGATTTGGGGACTGCTAGAGCGCAACCATCCACTCTTTTGTTCCTCAACATTTTGAGCCGCACATCCCAGAAACGTTCGTCAGTTGGGATGATTATATATGATTATCAAAGGTAACTGATCAGTATGTTGATCACCAACAGCAACCATCAAATCTGGTGGTTTCAAGCCACCTGAACATAGGGAAAACATGCGTGCTGGTCAATGGGGATCATCCTTCCAGAAGCTGCAAAAGTCAGCTCTTACACTTGCTGGAAACCAGGGGGTTTCCAACTACTGACATGTTGCAAGAGCAAATAATTCATCATGTGTGTTGGAATTAGCTGAACCATTGCTCGGACCAGACCAGCTTCTAACGATACTCCCTTTGATTCCCTTTGACACAATCATGAAAGTAAGTAGACGTAGACACCACTGACATCCTGCAACTTCAATACGAAACAACATCTTGCACCAAAGCAGCTGCTTGTGAGCAGCACATGGCAAGCGACAACAGGTAAACAAAAACAACACTAGTATACTGCACACCTCAGCCGAAGAACATAGCCCAACTCAGCAATAAAAAGGTGTTGTTTGATAACATACAAAAGCGACATTCGACCCTCACTCCTTTTTCCAAGATTTGTATTTACTCATTTCTTGTCAGTGAGGTTTCATGAGTTCACCATACACTTTCGAGATAGGTTGACAAGTTGACAAGTTTCGTTCAGCAAAAGTCTATCCACACCATTCACTTCTCACGCGGGTACCCTCCAAACCCAATAGTTGATCAGCCTCTTCTGCGGGGCCCTCCACGGTTCCTGAATGGACAGCATGCAATGTACCCAGTTTGAAACGCAGTCCCTTCCGTTCAGAAAAGTTGATCAAATCAGAACTTGTGTGGAACCACACTTAAACCTCCTTGCATTGATTAAGCTGAACCATTTACTTTATTATACATACAATTATAATATATATATATATATCACATATAGATATCATATATATATAATTATAATCATTAAAACATGTATTATCTGTGTATATATATATATACACAATATTATAAACATTTCAAAGAACAACTTCCAAGTCTTCAAAGGGCAATATCGGATATAGTGTGAGTACTGACTAAGGTTTCCCATAATTCTGTCACAACGAATATGTCATATACCTACTATTCACCAATCACCAAGATTACAGGTAACTGTCATCGCAAAATGCCGCAGGATCATCAGCCGCCAGCCGTGGTTAGATCTTGGATCTCGCAGATCCCCGTCCCCCGCAATAGCAAAATAACATCCGATTGAATTAGATTTGAATTAGTGTTTTGTTCTTTCTTAATTATTGGGATTAGAAAAGAACCAACACAATCCAAAGATCTAAAGAAAATGGAACATGATCATGAGGGAGCGCCACAGCCGTTGGGCATGCGGATGCCCCACCTTTTTCGCTGCCCTTTCGACTCGTTGGAGACCTGACCGATGAACAACTTCCTCCCATTTGGGGTCCCCCTATAGATCTTTTCCTTAGTGGGCACGGTGAGTTTTACTCTGTTCAAAAGAACCACGACTTGGTATACATCCCAACTCATATCAAAAGAAACACCCTTGCTCCCTATTGTCGAAGTTAGGGGGTTCAGCAAATCCACTGGCCTCTTTTTCATGTGGGATGAGATGCGCGCCCTTTAGCAAACCATAATCTCTTGAGGCCAGGGGAACCATCACGTACAGCCAAAATTGGGATGTTCAAGTGCCGATCATGATGTACATGGGTTTGTCTGAAAATAGGGTATATTCCCAATTATGGCCATTTAATAGGGATAATGATCATTAACCATTGGGTTTAGGGGTACACTATTTTCAGACACACGCACATCGGAAACAAAGAATCTGCGGACCTCTGTTCTACCTTCAGTAGGTCATCGGAGTTTCCCAGCCAACCATGTTTCTTTGATGACTGGAAGCTGCACGCTCTACATTGCAAATCTTCAATAACTTGTAAAAAGATCAACATGCTATAGTTGATTCTATGTCCACTTAAATATACTAAAATCATCCCTTGTAGAAGTGGGAACCTCATAGGTCCCCATTTTATAGACATTTTTCAGAGGATATAGAGGATCTAAAATCCCACTTAAACATATAAACGGCTCAGCCCCAGAGTCACTGGGAAGGTCCCAACCTCTGATGGCCGCTATGGCCGCCACCGGGTTTCCGAGGCGCCTGACGTGGATATGAGCCATGGAATTTCCATGGAATTTCATCATCAATTATACTATGTTATAGATCATTTATAAACTTCCATCAGTGATCTAGAATCATCATCAATTTTCATTATAATGTTTTCTCATTAAAACTTAAAACATCTAAAAGTAGTAGGGGATTCTTATGTCCAATCAGCGAGATATGAGTTGCCATGATACAGTGGATGGAAGAAATCCTGCACCAGTTCATAAGTGCTTTATCATGCTTTATCCCATTACTGACAGGGTTTCAACTATCCTTGTGGTGGCGTAGGATTTTGCAACATCCACAGTATCCCTGAGATAATGTCTGGTCAAACACGTAAAACCTCGTTCACCACAAAAAGAATCACCAGGCTTTTCGAGTTTGAACCACGTTTTTGAGCTGCGGCAGCCTTGGTCTTTAGTGCTTGTGCTGGTGCAAACGACAGGTGTTGGATGATGCTAGATGACCTGGTTGATCTGCACCAAATAACTTTCCCACAGGTGATGCGTCCAACTGTCCAACTATAATAAATCGGCTGGATTTCTAAACCCACACATTTTTTGTGTGAAAATAGGCCGCCCCGAAAATCCATGACAATCGCATTGATGTTCAGCATCCCTATGAAAATACGTTCATTGTGAAGGTATACACACTTAGTATACAGTAATTATACACAAACCTTTATAGACACACCATATAATATTACGATATATTAAGCAAATATATTAAGATATACTGAGAATATATTTTAAGATAATATATTGAGATTAAGATAATATATTGAGATTAAAATATATTAAGATTATATATATATATAAAGATATATATGGGCCACGGTCAATATTTGGTATATAGCTCCAAGTCATCAATTTTTGGAGAGTGTATTATTGTTTTTCAGGTTTTGGTATATAAGCAAGTGTTGTCGTTTTGTGAAGAGTGTATTATCGTTTTCCAAACCCCAGCTCAATTTCCAAAAAATAAAGATGTCTCTTACTACTCTTCATTAACCTAAATTTTGGCTGTAGCTCATATAGATATATTAAGATATATTAAAATATATCAAAATATATTCAATTAATTATTATACCCTCTTATCCCACATTATCCCATCTATCCCATGACTTCACATGATTTTCCCAGTGTATATCCCAGGCCAAATCTGCGGCCTGTCTGGGACTGCAGCTACTGCGTTGAAGAAGTGCCTGGGTGAGACGACCATGGTTCGATTATCATCCCATGTCTAATGGTGGAATACTCGGGCTGTATGGGTGAACACGAAAACCATCTAAAAATATCTAAAACCATCTAAAACCTATTTGGAATCACCAGGAGGAACTTCAGGAACTTCATGCAGATTCAGGGATTCTGTAGCGGATATGAGTGGCCTGTGAGTGATCAAGATGTGATTCATTTAATGACATCCCCTCGGCTCGCTTTAATATTGGAATCAGTTACTTCATTTCCTTCAAATTCGATATCATTGATATTACGGGTGATACTCATTTCGAACAATCACTTCCCTGGGATGGTCACCGAATCCAGGCACTGAGATTTGAGGTGCACGAGTCAAGTAAAATGAGCCGCTCAAGGGACATGTTTTGGATCCACAGTAATTCTGCTCAAGTCGAGACATCCCCGACCCCAACTGGTTCAGGAGTAGGGGGGGTGGATCCTACATTTCTGATAATGTATGAACATAAGGGGGGGGTTAACCCCCTCACTTTTTGCCAAAAATGTATGGGAACTAGGGGGGGGGTAACCCCTCAAAATGAGGCATGTATGAGTGCCAGATGCTGGAAATGTATTATTGGTAGGGGTATTGAACCTGAAAATGTATGCTTTGTGGGGGGCACCACTGACAAGAGCCAATGGATACATAAACTTTTCTAAATGTATGCAAGCATGGGGGGGTCTGCACCTCAATCCAATTGATCTTTTTATCCTGGGAAACCTACTGAAACACATGGGCCATAAAATGGCTGAAATATCCCCCTTTGAATTAAGTGAGAGTGTTGGTGTTGACAATTTTATAGTGATAATCCGGGAAGCCCTGACCCTCTTTCTGAAAATGCACCTATAGAATCAGAGACTCCAAGGTATTTTCAAGTTGACAATCTCTATAGAATCCTTGCCGCCCAGTCACTCTCGTAGATGGTTGGGGGGGTTAGTTGGCCTTCTTTAAAATCAGGTTCCCCAAGCCTCCTTCATTGACAGCTGACCTGAATGCTCTAGTTACTCTTGCCTAGCTTGCCTTATGCACTCCCAAATTTATAGAGTTCAAAGGCTCCAAGTGTTCACTGTCAACCCCTTCAATTTCATAGACTGGTGAAAAATGCTCTGTTCCGTTTGCTCTTTTTTAGCGGAAAGGCGGAAAGGCTGGCTCGAGGACTTCGACCCAAAAACGGTGAGACACACTGGGGAGACACAACGGAGAGAAAGAAAGGGGAGACACAACGGGGAGACACAACGGGAAAATGATGCAAAATGAAAAATGTCACTTTTATAGTTTGTAAACCAGAAAAAGCTGCTTTTGTAAGATATTGAAATGTCAAAATTGTACATATTTGCTGAATATAATTGATGATAACTGATGAAACCCTGATGATAGATCTCCAACAAATCTCCAATATATCCCAAAAGTATCCAAAAGTTTCCAAAAATATGTCAAGATTCCAAATGATTCCAAAATATACAAGGATGATCAAGGATGATCAAGGATGATCAAGGATGATCATTGTTGTGGGAAATTGGTTCTGCCAATACTTCTCTATAAAATTGAAGAACATGACATGCATCCAAAGAGAACATATCCCACTGTAGAATCGCAGTCCCTAAGACTCTCTGCTGACTAGTCCTCAGTGCTGTATTCAACATGAAATCTCTATAGAATCAGAGGCCCCAAGGTCCTCTATAAAATTGAAAGCGTTGACACTGGGTAGGTACCCCTTAGTTATTAAGTCAGGGGGTTAAAATGCACCATTTTCCAGGACCTAACGTTCCCGATCCTGTAGAGGAAATTCCAAGGGGGATGCTGAAATATACTTGATCTTAAATATTCTGAAATGTATGCATTGCAGGGGGTACCAATGACTACCTTAGCCAGATCTATTCCCTCCATTTTCCAAAAATCAAGTGCTTTTCGGCTACCCAACCCCCTTAAAATACATTTTTCAAAGAAGGGTATTCCCAGAAAAAAATTAAATATTCCCGGGGATCCTGGAAAAACCAAACCCGTAAAATGTATTAAACCACCCCCCAAAATAAAAGATCCTGGGGGGGGTTGGATATCCCGACCCATGGATCCTACATTTAACGTACACCCACCGGTCAAATAATGTATTTAGGGGGGGTCCTGGGGAATCAAATTCTTGGAGAACGGTAAATGTATTTTTTTTACCTGACCTCCCCCCCCCTAAAATACATTTTTAGGGGTGGGTGATGTCGAGACCCAAGGGCCCACGGCATGGGTTCTATTGTTGAATACAGGGGCGCCCAACGCAGAGCGTCCTCTTATCCAAGTTTCATGTCTTGGATTCACAAAAACTGCAAAAAACTGTTGCATCCAGGTGAAACTACCAAACACTGGAGTTTCGTATGAACGTTGCCTTGAAAACATGTGGGACGTGTGTGGTCTGCTTCATAATTGGGTAAACCCAAGAATAAACTATCCCCCATTTACACGATTTTATCATTTGGATTTGGGGGTAATTATAAAATGCAATACCAAGAGGAATTGCTTCCACATCACAATTGAGGTCACTTGATCCCCTTTACAGGTCGTGAAAAAGTCAGGGCTGGAACCAAGTTGAGCACTTTTCAAGGCCTGGGTTTGTCCCAAAATCGCAACTTTACATATTCAATAAAATATATATTCATATATAGCAACTGGGGTTGATAAAAATCTGAATTTGGCATCAAGCCAGTTGTGATCTTGGGATAGTCGATAGCAGAGGCGGCATTTAAACATACTGAATATGATGAAGGAGTTCAATACAAAGTACAATCCTTTCCCCCAGAATTAAACCCCCCAAACGACACTTTGTTTTTGTTTTGGGTCTTCATTTTCAGGTCCCTTATTGGGTTATCTGATCTTGGGGTCAGACTGGAGTAGCTTGAGATTGTGTTTGTGCAGCAAGTGGTGCATTTCACATGTTTTGATGTTCAACAATGTTGATCGTTAATCCTCTGAAACTTGGAGACGGAAGGAATCAGGTATGTGAAGCCCCTACTAAGAGAATATGTATACCAGTAGTGCCGCACAAGGCGGTGGCGGAAGTTTCAAAAAAAGGCAACCTATAGGAGAGGTTGGTTGTTGTGAATCACATATGGCAGAGCGAATCCACTGATCTGGCCAGATGGCTCCGCACCCGCCGCTTTAGCGGGCTTACTTTTCGACCCTTCGGAACCACAAATCATTGGAAAAGCACTGTGATTCGCGACTTTCCTACCTTTTCGCGCACCTGCATCGTCTTTCTTCTGACTCTTGCTCTTCCCTGATCTTCTCTCTTTTGCTCTTCTCTTCTCTGACTCTTCACACCTCTGCTTTTCCATCTGTCCATATTGTCGGAAGTTTGACTTCTAAACTTCCTTCGACAAGTCCCAATATGTTGGATACATGTGGGTATTTGGCATGCGTATGTAAGAAAACATGAATAAACTCATCTTATATGTCTAGGTACATGAACTGCACATAAACAACTTGCCATGGAATTCACACAATCAATCCTTCAGCCTCAGAGTGCCTCAAACATTCACACACATACGCGATTTGCAAGACCTTGCTGACTTGGTACCGATCTTGGACTGGTCTCCAAATTTGGAACCCAAAACTTTATCTGGTTGGTGGTTTCAACCCCTCTGAAACATATTAGTAAGTTGGGATGATTATTAAAAATATATGGAAAAATAAAAAATGTTCCAAACCAACAACCAGTTATGGTTTTTGACATCTCTCATTTTTCTTCATACCCCTTTGTACATGGCAGGCATCCGCCTTCTCATCGTGCAGCTCGCGGAAGTTCAGAGCACCACCTGCAGACGCTTCTAGATGTTGCAAACTCCGGGGTGAGGTTCAGGCAGTAATTCAAATAAACAAACATGTTTAACCAATAAGATCCAATAAGTATACTTTTGTTTTCCTACAAAGCATAGCCACAGTGGTATTCACCAACAAGAACAGGGCTATAGAGAACAAACCATTGACATCGAACGATCAAAAACTGAAACCAACACAGACACACACATGTGCCAGGATCTGAACAAACAATGGAAGGTGACTGCATGATCCGTCATATTTAGGCGTTGCTTTGAGGCCTTGTGACTTGTCCAGGGAGACCTGAAAGTCAAACCACCAACCAGGAGCACCATGTTGCCACCCGACACAGGATCCAAAACATCATGCCTGGTTGACAACAATGAAAAGTAACAAGAAAGGGAATGAAGAAATTGCACATGTCTGAAACTACCAACCAGATGTGTTTAAAATCCCCTTGAAGAAAAATCTAGTCTGCTTTAGTGTTCAAGTTGTGGCATCTGCTCTTTGGTACACTCCGAGCATCTCCGAGCACTGTCCCTGAACGTCTTTTTTTTTGAAAGCCCGGTTATCTTTGGCGCAGGATGCAAAGTTGGTTGACCAACGATGATTTGGGGACAGGAAGTTCCCGGCATTGGCCAACCTCTGACAGCTTCGGTGTAAAAAATGAGGCAAATTTGTCCAGTACTCCTATTTCACCCAAATTCACTGAACCAGCAGTATAAGTATTTATATGTATTTATGTACAAATTTATGTACAATTTTGTGTTTCTAACTTTCCTGCCCATCTCTTGCAGGCCTCTTTTGTCCCCTGCTACCATTAGCTAGAGACCATTAGAGACCCATGCTAGGGGAAGTTGAATTTGGGCATGCAGTTGCACAGAACCTTCTCAGGGTCAAGCTGAGGAGCGCCTTGTGCATACAGAAACAATGGACGGAGTGAAATCGTAGAGCGCGGCGAATTCATTTGCAGGCATGCATCTCGAAGTAGGGTATGACCCAATTCAATTATGGCCTTTGCGTTCACTTGTTTCGGCGCGTCGTAAGCCTTCTCGGCAGCGACGGCCAAGCGAACGGCCCGAATTAGGGACCCGTCGCGGTGGGGTGCAAGGGATTCAAATGCCGCTTGCTGCGCCTTCTCTGCCATCGCAGTGAGGAGCCCCCGAATCTGCGGTGTGGGAGTTGTCAAGCAATGATGCCTGTAGTGCATAATGCTTGTAAGAGGCAACGGCTTGAACTGTACACTCTTTACAAACAGTTCTTTGTAGACGTCTGCGCAAACTCTTGACAACCGCAGTCCTGAGCCTTTGAACTCAGCCAAAGCATCTCGGGCAGCTTGTAAACGCTCAGCAGATGTGTCATGCAGCTGTTCTTCAACACGAATCCCCTTGCGCGCCTGCAAGAGGGAATACATGTAAGTCTCTGCGAAGGCACTGTTTGGCTCTATCTCAAGTGATTTCATCTCGTTATATGCCAACAATACATCCTGCAAGCTTGCAGTATGGTATGCTCCTATCAAAGATGTGAATGACACAATAGTAGGAGTCAGTCGAAATTTAGGCAAGAGGTCAAACAAGTACTTTGCAGCTTTGTGCTGGCTCTTGCCCTCACCCCAGCATGCTCGTATGGCAGAGTTGATGTGATGGACCTGGATTGAGAGATTGCTTCTGTTCATTTCATCCAAGGTTTCGGCTGCCATTGTCACATTCCCAGCATCAGCAGCTGCAGCGATCCGGGCGGATCCAAGGATATCATCAAATTCACATGCGCTCAAAGCATCATTCCAAATCTGGTCCACACGGCTTGTGTCTCCCAGCTTTGCAAAAATGCGTATGCCTGCAGTAAAAACAGGAGGGCGAATGATTTCACAATTTGCCTGGCACTGTTCAAAGATCTTCGCTCCATCCTTGTACTCCCGAGATCTGAATGCTGCATGCATTGCAGCTGAATAGACCGGTGCTGCACTGCCAACATAGCCAGCAAAAAACGATCTGGCTGCTGGCCAATTTCTCTTCTCACTTGCAGATGCTATTTTGCTGACAAGTATCTTTTCTTGCCTGCTGAGTACTATGCCATCTTCAAGTTTCCGACCTCTGGCACTCTTACGGATTGCAAGGCCGCTTCGTTCGCGGAGCTCTGACAAAGGTTGTTGCTTTGCCCTCCCAAAGCATGAAGGCCTGTGCAGAAGGGTTGCCCCAAGCCACAGCAAGCAGCCCACGTGAATGCAGCGCTTCCGCAACGCTGCAGAAACCATGCTTTGCACAGAACAAATGGACCAAGTAGACAGGAGCTTTTTTAAGCCAGGAATCCACACAACTTTTGGAACATCATCCAAACTTCACCCTTCACATGTCTTGATTGATGTAAATGATCACCGAAATTCTGCAATGTGTTCGATATATGATATACTTGTGATGTCTGGCACTCAGTTGATGCAGTGGAGCAGGTCCCTTACATCTAGCCTATCCAGCTGTTGAAACGCACCAACCCACTTGAGGTAAATTGGCTGATGGACCAGCATGTAGGATCCTTAAATTCCACCTGGATTGCCGCATTGTGATCGGGCGTATTTCCAGACTTGCAGGCAAACCACTACCACTTATTGGCATTATCTCTGCAAAGCCATATGATATGGCTATGGCACAAAAGAATTCAAAAGACATCAACCACCCCCAACTCTCAAAACTTAATCATACACCTTCGATATGGCCTATGATATGGCCAGATTCTTATGGCTTATGGATGCTTGTGGATCCACTTGTGCTCCCCTCCTCGATCGCCACTCCCCTTAGGGCCGCCACGTTTTTCTCGCTCCGTTTTGGGGCGTCGCTCAGCTTGTCGATCCGACCTCAGGATGGCTCCCCATGTTCTCCCTGGAAATGATGGAACCTCAAAACTACAATTGCGGTAAGTCCGAATGCAACTCAGCTCTGGCCTGGAAGCACATTGCACTCATTGGGTCCATGTTCTCCACAAGGCCCATGATGGAACATAGTCCTCATTCTTCACATCTTTCCGGCCAATCCCTTTTGGCCTTTTGATTCGTGCCAACGTGTTTCTGTCCAGGCCAAGAATTGGTAGAACAGATCACTTGTTTGCCCTGGTGGTAAAAACCGCATTCGGGGAGTAGAAGACTCCAATCCCTGCAGTGCAAGGCGCTCCTCAACAGAGACTTCGCAACTGTAGACGAAGGACTTTTGAAAGGAAAGGGACACCTCTTCGTCATAACCGTCAGTGATTTGGTTGTCGACATTTTCTGCCATATGCTCAAATTCCGGGAGATCTTCAGCACACGTCAAATACAACTCCAGCAAGGAATGATGGACCAAATCCCTTTGGGGATGTTAAGTTTCAGGAAGGAGAACCCTACCATGGACCCCAATGGCGCAAGTTGAACATGACAATCTTTAATGATATTGAATGTTTAAAGCCCCAAAATAGATATGGGTGTTTCCTAAACTAGGGATACCCCCAAATCACCAATTTTAATAGCATGTTCCATGATAAACCATCCATTTTGGGGGTACCATCATTTATGGAAACCCCCATATCCCCAAATATCCCTCTAATGGATGGTTATGTATTCCCTTAAATATTGGACGGTTAATGGATGGTTATTCCCTCAAATGTTTCTGAAATCCCCAATAGCTTGATGGTTTCTTTAATGGAAAATCCCATCTACAAATGGATGATTTAGGGGTACCCCCACGACTTAGGAAACCTCCATATCTGAAATCCCCTTCAAAAACTGTCTAATTGGTCCTCGTGGATGTTGGGTCTCCGCGCCAGGCGGGCCGCCCGACCGGTCCGAGCGTTTCGCAGAGTGTCTTGAGCTCATTCAAGTGCCTCTTGTAAATGCGCCCAGGCCAGAAAGACGGACGATATGAATATCTTACATATATATATATATACTATGTTATATATTTTTTTAAAATACAGAGAGAGAGAGAGTGAGAGTGAGAGAGAGAGAGAGATAGAGAGCGTTGGAGTTGAATTTTGGTGATTGCGTTGTTTCTGGAACTTATGTAGCGGAACTGTGGTTATTTGAACAGTATTCTTGGGGAATCTGATGGCAAATGACCTTTTTTGAGCTATCACACCTTAAACAGATCAACCACTCCAAAACCGTATAGCAACACACATGTGAGATTCGACACTTGAAAGCATCAAACATATTGGTTGCACTGAAGTTGTATGGTGATGATCCTGCTTGGGGATTGGGTTCCTCTGAAAAGCGGGGTTAAAAGCATAGAATCATGAAGGTTAGATCCCAATTTATGAGTTATTTCTAACCAAGGTTGTATCCATGAATAACCCAAACTACACCCAAAAAAATTTGGGAGTCAATCATCTGAGACTCCCTGCCCCTCGTAGCGCTGTCGAACCTGCTCATACTCTGACCTCACTGCAATGGAGAGGATCAAGGATCTGTCCAGCACTCTAGTCCATCAAACAGTCGGGTCCTATCTCTGAACAAATATATAATAGTTTTTCCTTACATATCTAGAAGAGTTTGCACTGTTTTATCATCCTTCAACTTCACATGTATATCCAGTCAGCAAAATGCATCAAAGTCTGTGAGTAAATAATCTCTGGCAACAGATCTGAATTGGTGACTCATTCTTGGGGTTTTCATTGACATGGGGGCGGGGATTGCGACTAGTTAGCCCATTGTGTTTCGGTGAAGCACAACATTTACTCATACGAGGTGGTGCCCCTCACTCATAAGCTGGCTTTATATTCATCCACTCATGTTTACAAGCTGCCTAACAAGCCAAACAAACTGCGGCACCACATCATATGTATATGGTTGGTTGGAAATGAAAAATAATTACCGACATATAGAATCTATAGCTATATGATGTTATATGAGTTATATGGGCTTAGAAAGCAACAAACAAAAACTGGGGAGCACCACCTTTCACTCGGTTGAGAATCCCCGACGACGTCACGTTGCGTCTGGACACGTACTCCGTGACCGTCTTTTCCTCAGCGGAAGGGGATGTACTCAGTGGATGCATACTGCATACTTACGCTTAAACAGCTAGTGAAAATGCGGATGTAAGTCCTATAAATACATAAATACATATATGGATCATACGGATCTTTACACACACACACACGCCCATCTATGTGCCTCTATATACTGTACATACATTTGATTCTATAGGCGTATCTCTCTCTCTCTATATATATATACATAGAATACAAAGTATTATTATTGGAATGTTACGTATTATTGATTGTTATATGTCCATTGGTGAACATCTAAGTATATCCTTAAACAACGTTGCCACGGGTTATCATAGGACATATCCTTGAAGTATATTGCAACCAACCTTGATGTGCGGCCCCACTTAGCAAATGGTTTATACCCCCCAAATTATATATGGAATATCCCAACATATATATGGGATTATAGGGGTTATATATATATGTGGATTAAACACCACTTACTAAGTGGAATACAGATCCAATAATGTAGCTGAAACAATGCCATAAACCACCCATTTGGGAATGGTTTATACTATACCACCTATAAAAATGGTGACTGGGGGATGGTAAACATGGCATTGTTTTACCCACATTGATGATATAAATCACCATTGGAATTACCATTGGAATCACCTGGCGAAACCCAAGGTCAGGGCCAAGCGTTTCCAGGATGGAGAGCTCTTAGCCGTCCTTGTGGTGAAACGGGCGGGGTACCAATGGGATGTTTTCATGGGCTATTCATGGTATTTTAGTGAGATATCGTCGGATATCAACAGGATATTACTGGAAATACCGTGGAAACTAGTAATTAATTTAACCATCAGCAGAAGGGATTTGGGATTCAATAAGATACAATTGAGGATATAAATAGGATAGTGCGAGCAAGACCAACCAACAACATGATGGCGTACCAATGGACCCAACACGTCTGTAGACAATTTTGATCCATAGTCACATTTTGTAAGACTTGGGATTGCTCAAATAATAATCCCTTACCCCCGTTCATATTGAACACCCCTCAAAGACAAGGGAGTTTGGTTTAAAAAAAATAGACATGTTTCCGACCCATTTCGGAGTATTACAGGGATGGGATTAATATAGGATTAATATACCAGTAAAGCCTCGAATCAAATCTCCAAAAGACAATGTGGAAGGGTGTTGATCAGTCTCTGTATAACCTCCGGTGTCATCAAACATGGCTAGCTGAGAAATTCCAATCACTGGACATTTAAATGGGAAAGTCCTCTATAATTGCGCCAGTTTCCATTACCATGTTTGACTTCCCCTTGTACTCCACCTGATCTTTGGATATCTTTGGCACGATAGCCAATGGTTTGAGCCATGTTATGCAGTTGTGGTCCCCAAACATGGAAGCACCACGAGCCAAACGTAGGTTGCTCCATTGCTATCCTTTCTCCCGCTGAAGGTATGGTGGCATGACCAAACAGCCATGAATCTCCAAAGATCGATGTCGATTCCACTGCCCGCTGCTTTCTTAAGAGGGATTCGCAATGGATTATAACAGTCCCCGCAATAAATTCCACCAGGCACAATGAAGCGTAACGACCCCCCGCAATAAATATAAGTATATATGATAAATAAATAAATATATATATATATATATATGTATATATATAGAATGGTAGTATACTATAATCCCCGAAGAAATGATCAGCCAACAGGGGTTTGGCAGCCACTGCATGGATGAACTTCGCATTGCATGCTTACAACGCCATACATGAACCCGCTAGCAAGCGAGAGTCATGGTGCCAGTTCCATCACCAAAAGTATTATCTGGCCATCCAGAAACAAAAGCAACATATTCCACACTATTTTGATGAAAAAACATCGTACAACCAGGCCCTGTTTGCTCCCTATGGATCAAAATATATACATCCAACTAATTCCCAATATACATTCGCACAAGATGTTTTTAAATTCAAACCACATCCCAAATAATCCACTCACCGATTGAGCCTCTTCCAAATCCCCATCCGGACCGCCATCTGAGGATCCCTGCAACTCACTCAGATCTGCTGGAGCTACCTGCGACACAAACATGTGCCAAAGTCACACTTTAAGTAGAGCAATGATGAGAAACTCTTTTGGAAGTGGGGGTACACCAGTGATGTTGCTGGGTTTATCACCCTATATCTAATCTATAGCTGCTATAGCTATAGAATATTCTAGAATAATGCAGCATAAATCGTTGGCCTACAGTTGTGAACCAACTTGGCATCTTCCAAATCACCATAGACCCCACATGACCGT